AACAGGTGTAATGTTTCTTTCTTGCACAAATTAGCAAGAGCAGCGTATGTAACTCCATCTGTTCCTGGTGAACTTGTTGGTTTCACTGAAGACGGCACATATTGGAGCGCCTCTGGTGTGAAGCTGTCATCCAGATCTGATGAACTTATCGCAGAGAACTTTGTTACAACCGCCGAAACTGATTCTGCTGAGGATTTACATTCGCTAGTTTGGACGGTCTCTCCATTTCTCAGTATAAGATCGCAAAATTCTTCGGCAATCACACGTTCGCTCACTCCTCGAGACAGTGCTAGAGCCTGTAGTGGTCTCGAGTGGACTACTGGCTGTCGGAGGACGCGTACCATGTTCCACAGTTGAGTCGCTGATGTAAATGGGGAAAGTGGGGCACATAAATCTTGCCACCTTTTGGTTGAAAGCTTCTGCAGTTGGCTATGCATTGCAGAATATACTTTCTGTGCAACCTTGAAATCTTCTAAATTACCCGACCTGCGATATCTTCTTTTAGGTCGGCGTCGTATTGCCCGAAGCCTCTCATACTCAGCGTCAACCCCCGAATACCCATCTGGAATGGGTACTGCACAAGTTTCTTTTGTTCGAAAATGTTTTATCTTCAATGCATACGTTTCTGCGTCAGAAGAAGGTTCAAGATTTTGTATCTTTAGTTCCCGAAAGACTGCCCAATTTGTTATCCTTGTTGTGCGGTTATTTCTCGTTTTCTTCAACTTTGGATGATATAATAATACTGGCAAGTGGTCACTTTCTCTTGTATTAGCGTCTGCAGTCCAGTCTGCTCCAGGCGCTAATTCAGAGGAGCACACAGTGATGTCTAGTACGCTGCAGTAGTTATGCCCCCGTAGAAATGTCGGAGAACCATCATTTGGTATCGTGTAACCATGGTATTCGCATATTTTTACTATAGCAGATTCCCTAACATTACAACGCTCACTACCCCACAATTCATGGTGCGCGTTAAAATCACCACGTGTGATTATGGGATCATGATCAGGTCTACACACTGCAGCCAACTCTGCGTATGAAACATTTGCGTGAGGGTGCACGTAAACACTAACTACAGTTACAGTAACGTTACCAAACTTCACCTTGCGTCTAACAAATTCCGGAGCATCTGTTTTTGAAGTATCCACAAGTGTCGATGGAATATCGTGTCTCACACACAACATCACTCTGCTTTTTTGCAGCAGGACGTTCTGCTTGGTACACCACATAATTGGACAAGCGAAAGTTAGTGGATACTCTTGTTTCGGAAATACACAAAATCGGAAACCCGTGCTGAGCAACGAATTTCCGAAAGTCTCCACTCTTATTTTACAAACAATTGCAGTTCCACTGGAATATTGCACGTCTTTTGTACCAGTTAAATAGTTCGGTAGCCATGGTTACTACAAGATAAGATGCTCAACATCTAGCAGCAATTTCACTTCTGGTAAAGAAACTGCTTGTGGCAGAGATCGTAGAATTGCTTTAAGAGGGGCAAATATTATGGGCAAAATGACGCTCGTTTCCGGCTGTCTCCGACGAGATCGCATTTTTTGAAGAATTTTTCCTCAGCAAGCAGCTGTGACCCTTCCCTTTGGTGGTCAGTGGCTCCTTGGCTGTGTCTGGCCCGGCAGAAAGTTCCACTTCAGCATGTTCTAGGGCCAGGACTTCTTTGCCAACGCGATGTTTTGGTGCTGAGCGCTTCAATACTTCCGAGTAAGAGTCGTGGCGCCACTGTTTTGCATTTCTTTGTGCTGCAGGAACATCTTCGACTGTATCCGCATTGGGTGCGTGACCTTTTTGTATCTTGTGGTACCCTTCTACAATTCTCTCTCTTTGTGCAGCCGATACCAAACGGTTTCGAGAGCAGCAAATGACGCCGGATGTGGTCGAGCACAGTTGGCATATTTAGGCTGACGCTTCGAGGTGCATTCTTTGTAATCATGTGTGCCCGCACAAACCTTGCATCTCTTGGTTCCCTTGCAAGTCTTAGCCATATGCCCATATCTCTGGCAGTTGTAACACCTTACAGCCGGCTCAATATACTCCTCGACAGTGTGAACCGTAAAGCCGAGAGCAACTTTTTTGGCAATGGCATGTCATGTCTAAACTGGAGTATCACATTACGTATAGGCTGCATCGTGGCACTTCCATCTTCATTTCTTGCCCATCTCTTTTGTCGTGGGACTGAGATTACTCCAGCGTCTTTAAGATATTCCAGTAGGTCATAATCACTCTGTTCAAGTGGAACATCTCTTATCTTTGCTAGGGTCTTCATGTAAGACTGAGGTATCATCACATGTACAGGCAATCCAGCCAGACTCTTGATCAGCAACAACTTGTTTGCCGAGTACAAAGACCGTACTCCAACACAAAAACTTCCGACCCTGTTGATTCTTGATGATGTCACTTTCTCATTGATAGCAGAGATTATCTCAGATGCCATGCGATTTGGATTCACCTTCCTGAAGGAGTCCTCGGCTGCGATTGGTGTGAACACCACCGGTATCCCCGTAGCTCGGTTCTTGTGAGAAGTGACCACCGTGTAAGCTCCCTCGTCTTCCTTGGGTGCTTCTGTATCCATCTATGTCATTTCATGAAGGGAGTACGTCGATGTACGCCATCGTTGTCAACCTCTTCTTCCTCCTCTGTACGCCTCTTCTTACACTGTTAGGCCTCGCTGCTCTCTGTATGGGACGTCGATATCGTTGCTCAGCCTGCAGCAACTTGAAGTCAAGCGGGATGGATAAGTGGTGCTCCGCATGGCGCTAGCGGCATCTCGTTTCCCCTATATCCGGGCTTTGCCAGGTATGTGGCACGGGCCCGCTAAGGGGCAATTCTGATCGCGATGCATACTGAAACTCCGACTCGACGATGTTTAGCTGCCCCTCTGGAGACAGTCCACCCACCACACACACGGTAAAAAGATCCTGAGCTCAATATAATAACTGAATTAAGAGAGCGAAAATGAAGCTATGGGCTTCTTCCATTCACATCTTCTTCCTCCTGCTGGCGATGCAGATTATAAAGAAAAGACTGCAGGCATGTATAGAGGATGAGGGGGTGCTGGGGGAACTGCAGAATAGGTTTCAGAAACACGGGAGGTTGGAAGGCAATCTGTTCTCACTGACGCAGTGCATCGAAATAGCAGAAAAGGAACACATGCCCCTGTGGCTAGCATTTTTGGATATCAAGGGAGCGTACGATAGCGTGCTTCAAGAAGAATTGTGGGGAATACTGGACCCACTAGGCGTGGAAGATGGTGTCACTAATATTTTAAAGGATATTTATAAAGGTAACGAGGTAGTTATAAAGTGTGGAAAACAGGTATCCAAGCCTGCAGAGGTAAAACGGGGGCTTAGGCAGGGGTGTCCTCTGTCACCCTTATTACTACCGATGTATCTACAAAGATTAGAGGCCAAATTAGAGGGAAGTGCACTTGGCTTCAACCTCTATTTCGCAAAAACAAGGAAAAACTGATTGATCAGACACTACCAGCATTGATGTACGCAAATGATATAGTGCTCATGGCCGACAACAAGGAAGATTTGCAGATATTGATGAACATCTGCGGTAATGAGGGAGATAGGTTATATTTCAGATTCAGTAAGGAAAACTCAGCAGTCATGATTTTTATTGATAATGAAGGTACTGAGCTTAGAATACAGGAGGTCACGCTAGAGATAACAGATAAATGCAAATATATGGGCGTATGGATAAGCAATGGGGCCGAGTACCTAAGGGAACACGAAATATATGTGACGACTAAAGGTAACAGGAATGCAGCAGTGATGATAAATAGGGCACTGTGGAATTACAATAGGTATGATGATGTGAGAGGATTATGGAAAGGGGTCATGGTGTCTGGTCTAACGTTCGGCAATATGCGGTCTAGTGCATGAGATCAGAAGTTCAAGCAAGATTAGAATTTAAGCAACCTGGAATAGGTAGGCTTGCTTTAGGAGCTCACGGGAATACACCAAATCAGGGAGTACAAAATTATATGGGATGGACATCATTTGAAGGCAGGGAAGCTAGCAGCAAGATAAATTTGAGAAGCGATTGAGAGCAATGAGGGAGGAGCGTTGGGCTAGGAAGGTTTTTCAGCTACTTGTACATGAAGAATGTCGATAGAAAATGGAGGAAGCGAACGAGGAAATTATTGACTGGTAAATATTTAGAAAATAGCAGGTGGCCCAACCAAAAAGAACTATCGGTTAAGAAGAAAGTGAAAGAAACGGAGACTGACATGTGGAGAATTGGCATGATTAAAAACTCCGATCTATCGAACTTTTAAGCAGGAAATTGCCAAGGAAAGGATCTATGATAATACTCGGGGTAGTTCTCTACTGTTTGAGGCCAGGACGGGAGTATTGCAAACCAAGACATGTCGGGCCAAATAAGAAGGGGTAGACACAGTATGCAGTGCGTGTGGAGAGGAAGAAGAAACGGCTGAACACTTGATAATGTTTTGTAAAGGGTTTCACCGTATAGTTCAGGATGATGGCGGAGAGTTTTTCAAAGTACTGGGGTTTAGGGACATGGAGGGCAAAATAGACATTAAGCGGGCAGATTTAACTAGGAGGTTATATGATTGGTGGCTAAAGTCAAGGAACGAGTGCAAATTAAACCCTTCGCTGCAAAGTACGAATCCCCAACCTCACTATTTAAAGGGGAAAAAAAAGAAGATAAATCTAATGGTTAGTTCACCAACTATTACGGCTAGATGGCGCTAGCCGCCGCCCGATCTAAAGGGTACAGCCACATTTATTTTGCATCCATCCATGCATCTAAAGAGTACCACCGTATCTGTCCATTCATCTATCCAGCAATGGTGCTGGAATGTAATGTCGCCACCAGGTGTTCTGTGGGCACACTCTCCCTCCTAGTAAGCCACATTTTTGTGTAAACCATGAAGAAAAAGCGATCCAACAATCCTCCGAAGAAGATTCACCTAGTTTTTGATGAGCGGGAGCGCCGGTAAGTGAAAATCACCTACAGTGAGCTGGAAACACTGGCAGGAAGTTGCAGCGCGACGCTGATGAAGCGTGCGCATTTGTTGACAATCCTGCATTAACTGTAGCATCCAACGTAAAGTGGCATCTGCCCTGCCACTGGGAAACGCCGAGTGAACGTGTTTCCTGGTGAGTTGGCACTGGAGTTTGCGAAACGTGTCGTTTATGGCGGAATGCTTGAAGCGTGAAGAGAGGACGGGAGTGCCAACGACGTACCTCCCGTTTGTTGACAGCCAAAGGTAGCGAACGATTTTTAGCACACGCAGCGCAGTGATAGTCACGTCACTCATGCCATCACGGAAGCTGCCCATTAAGAGAGCGCAACTCAGATCCGCAGTTGATGTGCCATTAACTCAGGTGAGCTCATTTCTTTTTTGTTTCCATTGTAAACGTAATTACACAATGGAAGGGGCCAAGATTGAAGTTGCTGCAACCAGGTTGATAACCTCTTAGCCAATGCTGATTGTTGGCCGAATTGGTACTTGCTCAAAATGACATGCTTTAACACAAACACCAGATCCAGCGACTTGAAACTGAGAATTGCCCTGACTCGTTATTGACAGCTGTCCCCGAACCGCTTTTGCGGAAGAGTAATGCTGCACGCACGACGTCGTGCGCGCAAACCAGAAAAGGCTGTACGCACGACGCGGCTGGATGGTTGGATGGATGGATGGATGTGGCGGTACCCTTTAGATGGGGCGGCGGCTAACGCTACCTAGCCGTAATACTGAGTGAACTAACATTTAGATTTATCTTTTTTTTCCCTTGAAATAGTGAGGTTGCGGATTCGTACTTGGCAGTGAAGGGTTTAATTTTCACTCGTGCCTTGACTTTAGTCACCAATCAGATAACCCCCGCAGGTCGCGGGATCGATTCCCGGCGGCGGCGGCTGCATTTCCGATGAAGGCGGAAATGTTGTAAGCCCGTGTGCAGAGATTTGGGTGCACGTTAAAGAACCCCAGGTGGTCGAAATTTCCGGAGCCCTCCACTACGGCGTCTCTCATAATCATATGGTAGTTTTGGGACGTTAAAGACCACAAATCAATCAAATCAATCAGATAACCTTCTAGTTAATTCTACCGGGCCCGCTTAAAGTCTATTTTGCCTTCCCTGTCCCTAAACCCCAGTGCTTTGAAAAACTCGGCGCCATCATTGTGAATTATAGGGTGAAGCCCTTTACAGAACATTATCAAGTGTCCGGCAGTTTCCTCCTCCTCTCCACGTGCACTGCATACCGTGTCCACCGCTTCGTATTTGGCCCGATATGTCTTCGTTCGCAATACTCCCGTCTGGGCCTCAAACAGTAGAGAACTACCCCGAGTATTATCATAGATGCTTTCCTTGGCAATTTTCTGCTTAAAAGTTCGATAGATCTCTAGTGCGGACTTCTTAATCATGCCAATTCTCCACATGTCAGTCTTCGTTTCCTTCAATTTATTTTTAGCCGATAGTTGTTTTTGGTTTGGCCACCTGCTGTTTTCCAAGTATTTACCAGTCAATTTCCTGGTTCGCTTCATCCATATTGTATCGACATTCTTCATGTACAAGTAGCTGAAAACATTCCTAGCCCAACGCTTCTACCCCATTTCTCTCAATCGCTTCTCAAATTTTATCTTGCTGCTAGCTTCTCTGCCCTCAAATAATGTACATCCCATATCACCTTGTGCTCCCTGATTTTGGTGTATTCCCGTGAGCTCCTAAAGCAAGCCTACCTATTCCACGTTGCTTAATTTCTAATCTTGCTTGAACTTCTGATCTCATGCACAAGACCGCATTGTCGAACGTCAGACTAGGAACCATGACCCCTTTCCATATTTCTCTCACAACATCATACCTATTGTAATTCCACAGTGCCCTGTTTTTCATCACCGCTGCATTCCTGTTACCTTTAGTCGTCACGTATATTTCGTGTTCCCTTAGGTACTCGGCCCCATTACTTATCCATATGCCCAGATATCGGTATTTATCTGTTATTTCTAGCGTGACCTGTATTCTAAGCTCATTACCTTCATTATCATTAAAAATCATGACTGGTGATTTTTCCTTACTGAATGTAAAATCTAACCTATCTCCCTCATTACCGCAGATGTCCATCAATCTCTGTAAATCTTTCTTGTTGTCGGCCATTAGCACTATATCATCTGCGTACATTAATGCTGGTAGTGCCTGATCAATGAGTTTTCCTTGTTTGACTAAAGAGAGGTTGAAGCCAAGTGCACTTTTCTCTAATTTGGCCTCTAATCCTTGTGGGTACATCATGAATAACAAGGGTGACAGAGGACACCTCTGCCTAAGCCCTCGTTTCACCTCTATGGGCTTAGATACCTGTTTTTCCCACTTAACTACCTTGTTACTTTTATAGATTTTCTTTAAAAGATTAGTGACTCCATCTTCCACACCCAGTGTGTCTAGTATTCTCCACAAGTCCTTTTGAACCATGCTATCGTACGCTCCCTTGATATCCAAAAATGCTAGCCACAGGGGCCTGAGTTCCTTTTTGCTATTTCGATGCACTGCGTCAGTGAGAACAGATTGTCTTCCAACCTTCTGTGTTTTCGAAACCTTGTTCTGCAGTTCCCCCAGCACCCCCTCATCCTCTATCCGTGCCTGCAGTCTTTCCTTTATAATCTGCATCCCCAGCCTGTAGACCACTGATGTCACTGTTACAGAATGGTAGTTGTTTATGTCATCTTTGTCCCCCTTTCCTTTATAGATCATGCTGATCCTGCTAAGTTTCCATCCATCAGGGACTTCACCATCGATTATTGTTCTGCTCACTGTCTCTCTCAAAGCCTGTTTAGACTTGGGACCCAATGTCTTTATCAGCGTAACTGAAGTGCCATCTGGGCCTGTTGATGTACTACTTGGAACCCTCTTCTCAGCCCTTTCCTACTCTCGATGTGAAAATGGAGCCATTGTGCCACTTGATCCATCCTTGTCTATTGTTGTGCATAAGGCACTTATTTGTGTAAAATTTTCTGTCACCCTTGTTTTTATATATTCAATAGCTTCTTCCCCTTCTAGCCTAGCACCTTGAGCTGTAGTTATGAACTTCTGCTCTAGGCTCATCTCATTTCTTAGCGAGTTTAGATAGTTCCAAAATACCCCAGCTGCCTTTCTATCTTTTTTATGTACTTCTTCCAGCCACTGAGCACCCTTTCTTCTAATCTTTTCATTGATCAGGAAGGATGCTTCCCTTCTGGAGCTTAAGAAAGATGTCCCATTTTCTTTTAACATCATCTGTCAGTTCACCCCGCTGCTCAGCATGTCTGTGTTCCCTGGAGGCTTCCTGACGTTTTGCTATGGCTCTCTTAACTTCCTCATCCCACCAACTCTTGGACTTGTGTCTTCTTTTCCGGGGGGACTTGTCATGTGCCTTAGCAAGCTCTAGCCCAAACAGTCTAATTAGATTTGTGTATGTCCACACAGTTTTATTATTCTCAGTGATTACTTTCTCGATTTGTTTGGAAGCAATTTCTATTTGCCTTTCTGAATGAAAATTTTCCTGTAGTTGCTCATCTTGTCCCCTTTCCACTTTCGCTGCTCTTCCAAAACTTAGCTTGATACATTTGTGATCACTACCCAGACTTATGAAGCCACCTTCATCTATGTGCATTCCCTTGAGCTTAACACACATCCTATGTGGCATCAGTGCATAATCTATCATTGACTGCAGCCTTCCTACCTCCCATGTTATTTGCTTGGTGACCCATTCTGTTACCGACCCTCCTTCCTATCGCACCAATGTAGTGAATGTCATCCTGTGCGAAGGGGTGAGCGCCGGGCTCGTACACGTCTTGGTTAACTTCCATTACGCTGTATCCGTGTTGCCGGCTCAAACACTTGAGCACACAATTGGCCTCAACTACCCTCCTTTCAATCCAACGAGGCTGCCCCCAGACATCTGGGACAGTGCATATGGTCACATACACACTCCCAGAGGCTTCTCGGAGCTTACGCATCCCATCCTCTAACTTTCTTTGAAGGTTCTGATCCTTGCCCTTGAACACATCATTGAGCCCAGCATGAATAATGACTAGATGTTCGACCTCCATGCTGTTTTTTACAGCTTCCTGAGCTTTGGCCACTGCATCCACCATGCTCTTCCCTGACTGTGCCTCCACACTGACTCTCCCATCTTCCTTCACTGTGTTGAAGACGCCATCCCTAACCCTGGCCACGTTAGTGTCCCCCACCACTAGGACCCTTCTACGCTCCAATCGCTGGCTTTCTGTTTGTGATGGCGCCCCTGTTTGCTTCACCTGTTTCTCTCTCTGCCGTCTGTCCTGTGTTTCTGCTCTGCTTGAAGACTGCCGCGCCACCGAGCTGTATGTTCTCAGAGCCTCCGTGCTGTGGCCAGACACTGCGGCCCTCTGACCTCCCTTCTCGCCTGTTCCTTCCCGCCTGTCGCCTTCTCCGCTACCCACGCCTTCCATCTCACACCGCTCGGGGCCGGGGCAAAGGGCCATTAGCTCTTTTACCTGCTGCTCGAGCTCGGTACGGCCTTCCCGCTCTTTTTGAAGATCGCCCATCATTTGCTCTAATAGGGTGGCGGTAGCCTCCTCCTGCTCACGCGACGCTCTGAGCTGTTTTTGGAGTTCTATCCTCTGCTCCCATTCCGCCCTAAGCTTCCCCTGAAGCTCCTTGATGCTAGCCTCCATGCGCTGCACGGCCGCCTTCAGTGCCTCGCACAGCCTGCACACGAAGCTCACCTTCTGCGCGTCGGCCAAACTCGTGAATGCTGTCTCATCTAAGTAGCACCAGCGCTTGCATTCTTTGCACTGCACCAGCTCACTCTCGCTCGTGGTTTTCCAAGCCTCCTTAGCCATCGCCCGCCCGACCATCGGACCGAGTGCCCGACAGGCCTACGTTCAACCCTAATCCCGCTATCCAGCCTCCTCCGTTAACTCTCCTACCTCAACAACTGTTTGAAGCTACTGCTACACCGCACACATACGTGTTCAATTTGCTAGTAGCCTCTCACTAGGTCTCTTCGTGTTCGGCTCTAGCTCTTTAACAACTCAGCGGGCGCATGACCTTCTTCAAAACAGCCAGCCCGTTCACGTGGTCAACGTCACTACAACGTTGCCCGTGTCCCACACCTACAGTACTCGCAACGCTACTTATTGATTAGGAGAGAAAAAAAATAATGGTGTTCGCAAACACAAAAAAATGAAGAGAAACTTATCTCTCGTTGCGCGCTGCTTCTGCACCAACCGACCTTGCACGATCTTGAATCGGCCGAACAGGCGGAGCGCGCGAAAATACGTCCGCACAGCTCGGATGGTGCTACGGCGTAGTAGCGCCAGGTGGCGATGCGACTCTCTCTGCGAATGTCTGTAGTGCGCAATGGTCCC